CCTCCTTACCCTCCTCTCCCTCTCTCTCCCCCTCCCCCTCCTCCTCCTCCTTTGTGGGGTCCTCATCAGGCCAGGGTCATGATAGAGGGACAACAGGCCAGAGGAGCCTGGTTGAGCTCAGGGGGTGCCACTGCCCTGAATGCCCCCAAACCAACAAAGCAGGGGTGTCTCTCCCTTCCCAGGTGCCCTCCAGACACCCAGGCCCTCCTCCTGTTCCCCAAAGCCAGCTGCTATGTGGGGTCAGGACCATTGGACTGTTCTCAGGGCCCTTCTCCCTAGAAAGACAGCTCTGGCAGCTGGGCTCTGTGGCTCCCTTGCCCCCTGCCACCCTCCCCCATGGCTTTCAGCACTGCTGTCCCCCCTGGGCCTCAGATGGGTGCTCTGGGGGCCTGAGGCTAAAGCAAACACTTGGTGGCTGGAACTCCAGCTGCTCTGAGGGCGCAGACAGAGCTCTCTCTGCCCATGAAGATGCAGCTTCAGAACCCTACCTGGGGTTGCCGCGATTCAGACAGGGGCCCTGTGCAGCGCTGCCACACAGGCCTGCTAACAGCAAGGTCAGCAGTTCAAAACCGCCAGCTGCCCCGAGGCTTTCACTCCTGTAAAGAGGAGGCACGTTCTACCCTGTCCTGTCGGCTCACAGTGAGCCGGCGTGGACTCCATGGGCAGGATGTGGATTAGTTGAGTATTCACGTAGGGGCCCTGGTAGCATGTTGCTTAGAGCACTTGGCTGTTCACCAACAGGTCAGTGGTCCAAACCCACCAGTTGCTCCTCAGGAGAAAGACGAGGCAGGCCTTGGGAAACCCCGTGGGCAGTTGTCCTCTGTCCTGTGGGCATCAATGCAGGGGCAGTGGGAGCAGTGGTTTGGTGCCTCAGTTCCCTACGTGGTCACAGCCTTTGTGGGAAGAGGGCACGTTAGGTCCACAATGGAGACATCAAGGCAAAGGCTTGACTCCTGGCCGGCGCCCAAGTCAGACAGACGCTGAGACGCCAGCCCCCACCCCACCCCCATCCCCAGGAAAATGAAGAAGTTCATCCGCTACCTGAAGCTGAAGCGGCGCAGCCCCTCCGACCGAGAGGAGTACGTCAAGAGGAAGCAGCGCTACGAGGTGGACTACACACTAGAGCCCTTCGCCGGCCTCACCCCCGAGTACATGGAAATGAGTGAGTGCCCAGCCAGGGGGAGGCAGGGCTGGCCCTCACTGCCCTTCCCTGGGGTGCGCCCTCCTCTGGTGCCTGTGGCGGGCGGTTCAAACCTACCTCATGGCGCTCCAGAAGTAGGGCCTGTTCATATGGAAACACCCCCGGGGAGCACAGCTCCACTCTGCTGCTCCTGGGGTCCGAGGTAGAATACACCCACCCCCACGAAGCTGCAGGCCCCTGCTCCCCGCCCCCCCAACACTGCAGGTGCCTCCCCCAAGCCCCTTGGGAATGTCCCCCAACTCATCCCCCCCTCCCAGTCGGCCAGTCCCTCCACAGGCCCCACAGCACCGAGCAGGGAGTGAGCCTCATCACCCCAACTGTGGAGAGGTGGCGCCTCACTCTCTCAGTGGGGTGGGGCGTCAGGGAAAGGTGGGGAGAGGTTACCTGGGGCCTCACCTCCCAGCCTCCCTCTTGCCTCCTCCTCTCCAGGCCTGCAATAGATAGTCAGTGCGTGTGCTCCTGGAATGGGCCCAGGCATGCACTAGGTGCTCACTAAGTGTTGGATGGCTGGACAAGCTGGGAGATCAGGCTTGGTCACCCTGCCCCCCTCCCCCTCACCCCCCACAGGGTATTCACAGTGCTGGCCCCTGAGCAGCAGGGTGGGCGAGACTTGACAAGCCTGCCCATGAGCGCAGCCCAGACCTGCCCGTCACCTGTTTTCGGGGGGCGGGTGTGAGGAGCGGGGTGACCCTGGGTGGCCTGGTGGCCAGCCGTGTTGGCCATGCTATGCCCCGCCCCCACCCAGCTCCCGGAAGGAGCCCGGGACCGGGGAGCAGGGAGGCAGGGACTCGCCTCACCACCACCCCTGTTTTCAGAAGTAGATTACCAGACCTTTTTCCCAAGGTACCCATGGGTGCATTCATACCTGCAGCCTCTCTGGGTGCCAGCCGTCTGTGCAGGACCGGCTGCTCCCTGAGTCTTGTGTCTATGATGGCTGGCATCTGGCCTAGCCTCCTTCTAGGTTTGCGGACACAAGATTCCTGGCCCCACTGCACCCCACCATCCAGTGAGCAGCTACAGGCCCCTCTCCCTCCAGGGAATAGTCAGAGCAGGGCACCCAGAGGCACAACCTTCCCCCCCCACCTGCCCCACACAAAACTGTTGTCATGGAGAAGCTGCAGTCTCAGGGCAGACTGAGTCAAACTCTGCCCGAGGGGCATCTGACCTTTCAGCCAATCACCAGGCCTTTCTTCCGAGCCACCTCTGGGTGGGCCCAAACCCTTTCAGTGCAGTAACTGCATCTCCACTGCCCAGGAGGGTCGTGCCAGACCAGGGAATCACCTCAGACCCATGGCCCCCATACCCCACTGCCATGTGCTCTGGGGTGTATGGACACAGATCCATCAGCACAGGCTTTTCCCAACTCCCCTGGATGGGACTGAATCTCCCACCTTCCAGTGCACTGTTAGGGGCACTAACCCATCCCCCCACCCAGAGGCTCCGGGGAGCACCTGGAAATGGATGCGTAGAAAGAGAAAGCCAGGCCACAGTGGTCCCGGCACAGCCCCTCCTCGGCTTGGCCTCTTGGGAGGGAGAAACTGATTCCGGCAGATGGTCTCTGAGCCTGGCAGCCTCCAGCCCAATACCAGGACTCCCCCGCCCACCCCATCGCAGAGCGCACCCGGGGCTCCACCTTTGTCAGCTGGGCCCTGCACCCGCAGCAGCATCTGTGGGCACCACACAACCCCCACCCTGCACCCAAACCATGCCCATGCTGCTGCCAGCTCCGGCTCACAGTCTCCCAGCTTCCTTGTTTACCACTTGGAACCAGACGCCTCTGGCCAGGATCTCACCCTTCCTGACCTGGCCTCACTCCACCCAAGGAAGCTCCAGCCACTTACTGACCAGGACGGGCAGGCGAGACAGTGCCGCCCTGGACCGGGGGTCCCTCTGCGCTCAGGTGCCACCACCCCTGAGCTCCTGGGGTCCCCACTCACATTGCTGATGGTCCCCGTTCAATAGAGCATGCAATAGTCTAGGAAGCCCTGATGGCACACAGCTAAGCACCCCATGACCAGAGGGGGGGGAGTTTAAAATCCCCCCGGGCTCTGCTTCTACAACCAGTCGTGGAAGGGGGGTGGGGCAGCCTACCCTGCACCTGCACACACACACAAAGGTCAGCAGAGGCCTTTGACAAAGTGACCGTCATATACGCAGCCCACTGGCCATAGCACTGCTTGGGGTGAACTCGGCCCCACCCCCACCCCCTGCCTGGCCCCAGTCCCTAAGGATCTGCCTCCATCCCACCAGCCCCCTCTGAGCGTCCACAGGGGTGTCTGTGCAGAGGGAGCCAGGCCAGCGATGGGGAGCAAGCCAGCCAGCGGCACCCTCTTGGGGGCGAGGTGGTGACGCTAACCAGGGCCCCTCCCTTACAGTCATCCAGTTTGGGTTTGTCACCTTGTTTGTGGCGTCCTTCCCCCTGGCCCCGCTGTTCGCTCTGCTTAACAACATCATCGAGATCCGCCTGGACGCCAAGAAGTTCGTCACGGAGCTCCGGAGGCCGGTGGCGGTCAGGGCCAAGGACATTGGTGAGCAGCCCCAGTGGGGACCGGGTTCCGGGCCAGAGCTAGCTTCTGGGGCAGCGGCTTGGATCCTCGGAGCCAGGGCAGACAAAAGGAGGGTCCACCCAAGGCCGCTAGGGTCTCTTAGCCCTGGGATGCGTCTGAGCAGGAGACCACTGGCCGAGGAAAACCTGATACTGGATTTGTACTGGGTTCCTGAGAATCTCACAGTCTGCAGTTCTGGGACATCCTGGACACAGTCTCTGGTGGCTCTCAACCTACCCACCCCCACCCCCAAAAAAATGCCCACGTGGTCTCACAGTCCTGAGCAAGGCTGAGGCTCTCACTCGCTGCCATTGTGTCAGTGCTGAGTCACAGCAGCCCCTGTGGTTTATGAGACCCTGACTGTTGACAGGAATAGAGAGCCCGCCTTTCTTCCTCGAGATGCTGATGGTTTCAAACTGCTAACCATGCAGGTCGCAGCCCAACTAGTAACCAGGGCTCCATGAGGCTGAGGCAGCAAAGGACATTCGTTGTGGATTATGCAGATTAGCGCATCGTTTCGTTCACCAGGAAAAAAAGGCAGGGTGACCCCATTCTACAGATGAGGGTTGATAAGTCCCGGGGAGATATGCCTGTAAGGGAAGCTCCAGGGCACTGAGTGGTGGGCGAGGCTGGGGGCGCGGGGAGAGCAGGGGCTCATCTACATGGCTCGAGGGACGGAGCGGGGACAGATCCAAGGTCAATCAAAAGAATAAGTTCAAGAACCGAACGGACCCCCTCGGTGGAGTAGTGAGCTCCCCGTTACAGAGGCATGTAAGCAGAGATAGATGGCCATCTGTGTGGACGTGGTGAGGGGTGCTGGGAGAAGCTAGGAGGTGGGGGAGGCGGGGCTCCAGACCCCAGTGGTGGGCCCACCAGTCAGGGGGGAAAGGTCCAACCACATCCCCGTCGGTAAGTGAGCCAACTTACAGCCCAACTCAGTTTCAGGAAAGCAAGCCGTTTCTAGTAGAACTTCATCTTGACCTTGGTTCGTGTCACCTCGTAGGGAGCACCTCTACGCCACTCCTAGGGGGTACCAGGGACATGGTGACAGTCACGCCCCCATAAAATACAGTTTTGAAAAGCAGGAGGAGAGGGAAGCTGGGGGTGGGGGGTTGCCTTTTGCATCCCAGAGACAAAACCCCACTGTCTTCAAGTTGATGCCGACTCACGGCGACCATATGAGACAGGGCAGAAGGGCCCCGTGGGTTTTCCTAGACTCCACCTCTGTGGGGACAGACATCCTCATCTTTCTCCCGATGGGTGGCCGGGTGGGTTTGAACCGCCAGCCTTGCGGCTCACAGCCCGATGCTTAACCCCACTGAACCCTAGGGCTCTTCACACAAAAATGATCTGCAGAAATTCAGGGGGGTGGGCTTAGATGGGCGTCCAGTGGGCATCCTCAGCTCAGGCACCCGTCCTGTGTTTTGGGACAGAGGCCTTGGCTCAGTCTCCCACCAGCCACCTCCAAAGCCCCCTGAGGCCGATCCTCTTGCATGGGGCTCCTCGTCTGCAGCTGAAGGAATGGCTATTCCCACGGCCCCTGTTTGCCCTGAGCCAGCTGTGGTCAGCGGTCAGTGGGCCTTGGTTCCCTAGAGAGGGACATTGAGCAAGGGTGTATTATGGAGGGTTTCCGTGCTGCTCCCTGTGCAGCCCCCTCCTGGGCCCACTTCCTGGGAGAGCTCCTTACAAACCTTGAAGACGTAAAAGCCCCCGAGTTAACTCATCCTCCCGGGTCCTGGAACGTGCCTCTCCTGAGAGCACTGGGTGGCCCCTCATTCCATGCCCTCATTATTATCAGGGATAGGGGGCAGCAAGATGGGAGCTGGCCTGCACCCTCCAGAGCTCGCCCCTGCTGGGCCAGGCCAGTGCCAGCCTGGGAGCACGGGCTATGCAGAGGCTGGCAGGTGTCCCTTCCAAAGGACAGATGGGAAACATTAGAGGCTGGGAGGATCCAGCAGGGAGTGGTCTGTGAGCCCTGCAGTCTGGGAACAGTGTTCTCCGCTGGCCGCAAGGACGGGGTTGGCCTCTCCCATGAGATGCCTCACAGGAAAGACCTGGTGATCTTGTTTGGAAAACCCAGCCACTGCCTTGGGCACCTGGGTTGGAGTTGCTCTGTGAAAAGACTCCACCTTCGGAAGGGCGGGTGTGCGTGCTCTGCGGCTGGCGGCTCCCGGGGGCAGAGGACCATACCCTGTCAGGAAGAAGAGCAAGGCCAGCCTGCCGTCCCTTGCCCTCTCACGGGCCCTGGGGTCCAGGCAGAGCCCACTTGGCACGTGTGCCCCTGCCATCCTTTGCTGTCCGGGGCTCTGGCCCCAGACCCACAAGGATGAAAGGGTGTTTGACCCCCTCCCTGCCCCCCACCTGTTTTTCTCGTCCCTCGGGTCTGGCCGGCTGCTCACTTCCTGGTTCCTACCTGCCCTGGCCAAGGTTCAACCTGCCCTTTCTCACGGGCCTCAGGCCTTCTTAACCGGATCTTTCTCTCAAGAGGCTTTTGTGTCCCTCTTGTGAAGCGTGCAGGGCCCCTGAGCGGGCACCCTGGTGGGGGGAGGGGTCAGAGAGCTGCAGTGGATACCAGGACCTGGGCCCCACAGGGAGGAGGCACTGCCCCAAAGTGGAGGTGCCTTGGTAGCTCCCCAGGACCCAGTGGGGGATGTAGGGACCTGGCTGGGGCCCCGATCTTTGATACCTGCCACTGAAGGCATCCTGCTCACACCCAACCCTTCAGAACCTCTGAGAAGGAGCTCCCACCTGGTGCACGCAGGTCCCGGGCACCTATGCTTCTGCCCACAGGTGGCTCTTGGGTGTTGTGTTCGCTGGCCCAGGTGCGACAGCCTGGGCCAACCTGAGATTGTTGGGGGTGGCCTGGGATCCCTTATCCCTCTCTGGCCTCTCGCTGACCTCTAGTCAGAGTTGGCAGCTCTGGGTCCCTTGTAGCTCCGAGTCCCTTTGATATAAGGTGGTTACACATTGGGCTGCTAACCACAAGGTCAGCAGTTCGAAACCACCAGCCACTGCCTGGAAAAGATGAGGCTTTCTACTCCCGTAGAGTTACAGCCTCTGAAACCCACAGGGACAGGTCCACCCGCTGCTCTAGGGCCGCTGTCCGTCAGAATTGACTCGATGGCAGTGAGTCTCTGTAGGGCATCTCGGGATCTGTCACACTCCCACGGACTCAGGACCCGGTGACTTCCTGCAGTGCCTGCTGGACAAGTGTCCAGCATACTGGCTGAACTCCGGCTTTCTAGCCTACACTCCATACAGAGGGATCCTGAACCCCTTACAGACCACCAGCGTGCATGGTGTAGGGGTGTCATTGCTGGGTAGAAGTGCTGTCTGTGACCTGCGTGGCCAGGCCAGCCACAGCCTGGGGCAGAACCAACCCCACAGTTCTGTTCCCACACTCATGGTCGGGGACTATGGAGGGAGCTTCACTCACAGCGACCCCACATGTGATGGAATGAAGCAGTGGCCAGTCTTGCCCGTCCTCATGCTGCCCCATGTGTCCGACCCCTCCGTGGCTGTTCAGTGGCAGGATACCCGGGCCTTTCTGAGGAGCAGAGGTGGCCACCCCGCTCAGATAAGATTCCAGCTCAGTGGTGACTTAGGGACGGGAGAGGAATCCCTCCCTGGGCCCTGATCAACAAGGACTGTGCTGTCCCAGCAGATAGGGTACCAGCTCAGGCCCCACGGGTCCCCGTCTGTACTGTTGGGGCCTCCTGTTCACTGTGGTCCATCAGCCCTTTGTCCTGCCACAGGTGGCTGGGCGGGGGCAGCCCTCACCACCACTCTGGGACTCTCAAATGTGGGTGTGGGGCCCACAGGCCAAGTCCTCCTCTGCCCTTCATCACTGAGTCTACGCCTGGCCAGCCCCCAAGTCCAGCATCCCAGGCCCTCCTTGCTCCAAGCAAGCTGGACTGGTGGCGCTTCTGTGTCCAGCAGAGCCCTGCGCTGCCCGGCCCCAGGCCCCCTGCATGACTGCGGGCCCACTTGCATCCACTGTGCCCCTTCAGGGCCTTCCAGCTGGCTTGGGCATGTGTCCCAGTGGTGTTCGGTTGTGACCACAGGGTGTCCGTGGGCAGGTTTTCAGGGGCAGATCACCAGGCCTTTCTTCCTGGTCTGTCTTCTTCTAGATGTGCTGACACCTGTCCACCTTCTGGCGTTTTAAATCCCAGTGGCAGGTCTTCCAGCATCACAGGAACACAGTACA